TGTCACTTGTTTTTAAATAAAAGAGTTGATAGCATAATTATACTGTACGAAAAACGTAACGACTTGTAGAATATTTTAAAAACGATGCAGAATCGATTATAAACTAATCTAGATATTTATGGATATTAGTGGTAAAAATGGAGAAAAATTTAATAGTGATGTTAATTTCAAGTCCACTTTAAAATCGAAAATAAACTTAATGTCATTCACGAATAAGTAAGTTGGAATATTTTGCAATTTTGCGACGAGGTAATGATTAAATAACAAATAGATACGCGCATTGTCACGTATGACTAACGTGACGAGACGTCCCGTTTTGAACAGGACTGTCCCTTTTTATAATTACGAGTCCCGGTGTCCCCGAAATGAACTCTGGAACATAAACATCTTAAGTATATATTATGTTCTTTATTTCGTAATTTGCAAGCTAACTTTTCCAAATAATAACTTAAAAAACTACTGTTTTTCTACATTATGTACCTGTATGTTATGTATGTATGTTATGTCACGTTACGTATGACGCTATAGCCAAAGACAGCAAGCAGTACATGTCTATAGAATCCCATTCCCATCTTAACAATATTGATGCCGGACTACAAGAAATTTCGATACTGATTCCTCAATAACTTTTTTCATCGTATTCTCTTAACGATAATAAAAACGATAATCCTTATTAACATACAATCAACAATTTCACTTTCTTCGTATAAAATATGAATCGTTCGAACTTTCGGTATTACACAATTTTGTTACAACACTAAACACATGATTTGTTTTATTAAAACGTCATTATATCGGGTACGCTGTACTGTTAGACGAATTACATTATTTTCTAAAAGTAATCTATTTTATTTGTTTATTGCTTAGATGGGTGGACGAGCTCACAGACCACCTGGTGTTAAGTGGTTACTGGAGCCCATAGACATGTACAACGTAAAAGCTGCAAAAGTTTTACAGTGAAACGCGTTGCTGCTTCACTGCAGAAATAGGTAGGGTGGTGGTACCTACGCGTGCGGGCTCACAAGAGGTCCTACCACCAGTGACCTAACTAATTGAACTTACATCTTTTTCTGTACAATGTATGGTTCAATTACCACTAATAAATTTTATCAAAACATATTGTGGTCATTTTTTTATAAGTCGCTGCTGGCGTTTAAATACAACAACAACAACAAAAGTGAGCGCACTCGGAAACACAGTCACACACACATACGTTTACGAACGTGAAAATATTCAGACATTCTAAACTTACGTTAACGCCAAAGGGCTTTACAATGTTAACGAAACAGGTCGTTCACCTACGTGCGGTTGGCGAAGGTCAGTTTTCGCATAACGCGGTCACGATGCTCATCATACGAACGTGAACACGAGGACCGGGCTGCCGATTATGAGCTGATCATTATTCGGCACGCACCACCTTGGCCGTAATTAATCAAATCGTACCGGAGATCCGCTGTATCAAATTTTGTTCAATTTTGGAATATCGTCGTTGTTAAACCAAAATCTGCTATGTGCACTTTTTGAGATTTTTACTTTTTGACCTTTTCGTATAGTTCACAGCCCTATCTACCGTATAAAAAAAAACTGTTATGTGTCTGTAGCTTTAGTATTTATCTATAGCTTTCATTTGATATAGTTTTTAAAAATTCACCTTCATATAAAATTTTATACGAAAATGATTTTTACTCATTAATTCAAAATAGAGTTTTTGCACATAGCAGATTTTAGTTTGACAGCGACGATATATCTATATATTAATACGTGAAGCAAAAACTTTGTATCCCTTTTTACGAAAATTGCGTGGACGGAGGAGTATGAAATTTTCCACACTTATAGAGAATATAGAGAAGAAGTGCACAATGCTAATATTTTTTTTAAATAATGCATAAAAGATACATTAAATCAATAAAGAAAACATTACACACACTACATACCATGTATTTGAACNAATTTCAGCGATTCTAAACGATAAGATTTTTTCATAAAGAGAGTTATTAAAAATATTAAAATTACTAAAAAAGCCACCTGGTGGGGGGTAGGGAGACTAATAATCGATCGTAGCGACGCCTGCTGGACCGGGCTTTAACTAAAGCAAAAATAAAAATGAGAGTTGCGCATCTATCTCGTATATATTAAGTGTATAATCTATGGATTAAATATTGTTTGCCTTTGTTAATATTTTTTATAGTGCAGTCTTGGCGAAATTTGTGATTATAGAAGTATAAAATACAATCATAATAGTGTACAAACTTACAATTTCAATTAATTATAGTCGAATTTCGGACTTCAGCGGGAGCTCTAGTTCCTTTTAAAATATTAGTTTTGTACTTTTTTAACAGACGATAAATTGTCAATCATTAAAATAAACTGTCAAGTATTCTATGACACAATTATCACTTGTAGCCACTGAAGTATGAAACCTAGTGTTGAATGGAGTCATGAGTCTAGAGAGTCATCGACAGAGCGACTAAATAATATTTATCTATTTCGAATATGATCAGACAATTTCCTTCACCTTTTCTGCTCACTATAGTAGAACGTAATCATTTTGTCCTGTGCATTTGTATTTTTGAACACCATTTTAATTGTAAAGGAAAATATTCAGGAACATAATAAATCACCTATTAAAATAATATTTCATTCACAATCGCTTTTGATGACGTCATCCGCGTTATTTCGATCGGTTCAGAAATCCAAATCGACCTAACCAGTCTCAAAATACTCTTGACTCTAAGACATAGTGCACTAAAAAATTTTTTTATCGGATATGGTTTTATCATGAAGATTTTAATCAAATTCGAAGCTAACTGACAGTGCGAAATCTCTAAAGCTATTTCTCGAATAAATTAAAAAAAGAGTAGAAGAAAATATGATACAGAACCTTCTTCAAATCAAAACTCAAAGCTGTTTGAATGCATTTCGGTTGATTTATATGACAACATATTAAATGTATTGAGATACATATTAATGGTATCACTATTTAATTGTCTGATCGAGCACATCATTACATAACGAGGAAGCGCGTTGCGTGCATAGATAACTGACGTAACTCTGCTTTAGATACATTTGCCATTAATATTTGTAACAATTAATCTTCTTACGATGAGCTAAGAACGTACTTTATAATAGTGAACCCATTTACAATATTAAAACAGGATCTGTCTCAAAGTTGATAGCAATGAAATTGGCATTGTTGGACGTTTAGTTTTTTTTTGGAAAATAGGTATTTACAAGTAGGCGTAATTAATTACCTAGTGCATTTTTTATTATTAGATGAGGTAATCGTGTGTCAGTCGTGAGCTTTGCCTGATTAGTCGCACCCAAATTAGTAAATCTTGATGAGACCAATGTACTTCTGATTAGGCCTTCTCTTAAATCCCGTAGAGAGATACCTACTAATTTCTTTAAAAAAAATATGTACCTAGCCCGTAATAATGGAATAATATCGCATAAAATAAAAATCAAACATGTAAAATTTGCATAATTGATGGTAGGACATTTTACGAGCTCGCAAAACTGGACCAGGTAATTTTTAGTACACATTCTAACTACATATACAATATAAATAAAATTTAATGTTTCTTTTTTGTGTGTTCATTAATCACGCATCCGATCGTGATAGATAAATAGATGCTCTTTACAGAACGACCGATAGTAACAAATGAGTGTGATTAGGTCTACTAATCTATAGGTACATACAAGTCGAAGTGTGTTGTTCCCTATAGACTCTAAAACAACTGGAAGGATTTGGATGAAATTTTCAGGAAATCTTCAGATTGGCTTGGCAGGTGATCAAACCTGTGAAGTTTCATAGCGATTGGATCGAAGTCAGAATAGCAAAGAGGGCCGGACTTGACTTATTATTCTTATCTCATCTGCTTCTTATAATCAACGAAATTGCTATCTTCATCCCGCAAATAATTTAAACAGATGACAATAGGAAGCGCATGAATTTAGACTTCCGACTTTCTGAATCAGTTAGTACTTAGGCAAAAACTGGTTAGAGATGCAGTCGAGAAAAGATACAGTTACAAAAGCATCATGCTCGACTTGTTCTCAATGAAAATGAATGTAAATTTTACGATCAGGAAATCCGTAATGCCAAAATCGAATAATGAATCAGACACGTGACCGGTTTGGTTGGTAAAAAAAGCCACTATGACCCAATGCAACAGAACATGAAAAGGATTTCAAATGTTTAACTTTAAGTCATATTCAAATGTAAGCTTATCAAATGCAGAAAAAAGATTGTTATTAAGATATTAAAATCAATCAATATGCATTTTTATTATAAAGCTCATAAACGAATTACCTAGCTTTATTAATAATCTAATTCGAGACAAATCAATTTTGTTTAAGACAACAAAGTAACAAGAGTCTATTCACTTCTTGTGTGTAATTTGGTTTGTTTCAATTGTTCGTCTATTGCAATTTGTTGCAAATCAACTTCCTATCACAATTCTCTTTCAGTAATACTTTACAATTGGAACACTTTGACACATTTTGAAACTAATTAAATAATGAATTTCATTCTGTAAGCAGGTATTCAATTATATAAAATTTCGCCATGCGAATCCGTCTGCTATCAAGACATTTTTATCAATAAACTTGACATGGTTTTATGAGAAAATAAACTGTTTTACATTGGAGTAATTACCTGTATGTCTTTGTTTGTCGTACCATTATTTTAAGGCATTGTTTCAAATGAAGTATCTTAATAATTATGTCCGTCCCGAATTCGCACTACACGAAAGAATGTTATTATAGTTAACGCACATAATTTATGCAAACATTAATCTAATAGATTATTTTTATACAAAATTGCACGGATGGACTTGAATAAGAACTCACTGCAGAAACAGACAAAGAATTCTAAAACATTTTAATTGTACACACGAGTTTAATAACATCGTAAATTTTGTAATGTTCATAAAAAACATGATAGATTTCTTTAAGATTTATGTCGATTAAGTTTATTAAAATATAAGTTATATACTTACGATTTTCACGTATGAATTCATGTTGCGTGTTTTAGGTGCTTGGACACTGACACAGTTTCACTTGAGGTGCGCACGCGCTATGGCCGAGCGGTGGATGCGCTAACTGACTGACGCCGATCTGGAAAACTGCCCACTCCGGCTGCAACACCAAACGTACGATAGTCGGTGGGGTTATACAATTATATACCGCATCACTATGCCATGTACAAACAGCTCGATATCGATTAAATAGAGCACGTATCTCGATTAATTATCAAAATCGGATCACGGGAACTTGGAAACGGTTTCGCAAAACTTAACTCGACCTTGTCTGCTGCCAAGCGATACGATTCGATAGCAATTTTAATGAAGGTTTCGTAAACTTTTAATTTTCATTTACGTACAATGTGTTGAGTGGCGGGTGGATGTTTGCGGCGTGCGAGTAGGTCGGGTTGTAAGCGGTAAAGCAACGTGTTCACATTATATAGGACAGTGCGCGACCTCCGACACGCGAGGGAAGTGCGCCGATGCCGACAATGTGCTCCTTGCTTTATCGTCTCCTCCACTGGATTAACGTGGCGTCCTCACAAAATATATATTTTTTTTTTTCATTAAACACTGTTGGCATGAGACTATCTTGTTTGCTGAAGGGGTTCCTGTGACGAACTACGCGTATTCCTGATTTGAGTCTTCAGCAAAAATTTTTTTTTATTGCTTAGATGGGTGGACGAGCTCACAGCCCACCTGATGTTAAGTGATTACTGGAGCCCATAGACATCTACACCAAATGCGTCACCCACCTTGAAATATAAGTTCTAAGGTCTCAAGTATAGTTACAACGGCTGCCCGCCCTTCAAACCGAAACGTATTACTGCTTCGCGGCAGAAATAGGTAGGGCGGCTCATGTCTCAATATGGGTGGCGATATTCAAGCACGTAAGATCAGGTGGGCCATAACCTCTCCTACCCAACTAAGTAATAAAATATATATAGAGACGAAATAAGCAGCTTTTAAAAGTTAAATTGTTCTATTTAAAAAACTTTACAAAAATTAGCAAATACCATATTGCTGTCTACCTGGGGTGAAACGTAGGGTACTTTTGATTTTAAGCTTTAACGTTTTGGAATAACTAGAGGTCCCGCAGTAGTCGAAATTCGACTATAATTAATTGGATTTGTAAGTTTGTATACTATTATGATTGTATTTTATACTTCTATAATCACAAATTTCGCCAAGACTACACTAAAAATATTAACAGACAAACAATATTTAATCTATTCTCAATCTGACATCGGACGTCAAGAACAAAAGTTTGACAATAAATAGTATGCATGCGTGTGTGCGTCAAATACATGGTATGTAGTGTGTGTAATGTTTTCTTTATTGATTTAATGTATCTTTTATGCATTATTTTAAAAAAATATTAGCATTGTGCACTTCTTCTCTATATTCTCTATAAGTGCGGAAAATTTCATACTCCTCCGTCCGCGCAATTTTCGTAAAAAGGGATACAAAGTTTTTGCTTCACGTATTAATATATAGATAACACAATAATTCCTTGAAGACAGAACACACGTACTTACAAGCAAGTGTTAACTGAATTATTTAATTTATCAATTTACATTTGCGCTATGCGTGTCATTAATTGGTTACGGCACGGGCTGCCGATTATTTAGCGATGCTCGTACATATTTAGTGTAGTTAACGCAGCCAAAACTCCAGTCGGTCACCTAGTTAGTTTTAAATATTAAGCTGATTCAATGACGTAGTGATAACTTGAAGTGGCAAAAAGGTGTATAGTACTTGCAATTACGAAAACCTTCCTTGAGACCTCGGCTACGTGCGTCAAAGGACAACTGCGATACTGACGCAGTATCAGCTTAGCATAGTTCTCATAACCGTTGTACCTAGTTGTATTGTAAGGGTGGGACAGCCGTTGTAACTATACTTGAGACCTTAGAACTTATATCTCAAGGTGGGTGGCGCATTTACGTCGTAGATGTCTATGGGCTCCAGTCACCACTTAACACCAGATGGGCTGTGAGCTCGTCCACCCATCAGAGCAATAAAATAAAAATAAAAAATATTAGGAAACATGGGAATGTGAAAATTGTTATTTCGTTTATTTATATTTATTTATTACAAAAATGAGTAAATAAGATCACCGCTCTCGTGGTGGTCATCAGAGCTCACAGATATCATAACGTGAATACCGTGGACACATGATTTCAGAGTCTCAAGTGTATTGATTGAAAATTGATTATTTTAACGTTTGTTTCTTCTGACTTAAAAAGCAATTTGGCTTTTTTGAGCACTACTGAAATAGGCAGCAGATTTCTCCTTCGTGCTCTATATAAGGAAATTTTAGGGAGATTCGAGTTTCTTAGCATTCACGTGTCTTAGTTTTTTCAGCAGTACGCAACGTCTTGCTCTGGATAAAAGTGAATCGTGAGCAACCCTGGACATCTAATATTAATAAAGAAAGCTACCTATCTTAGCTATTATACCACATTTTATATAACAATTTCTATAAATTTTGTAAACTAGTACCACGTGATGCTTCTATAAACATAAAAATTTACAAAACCGGATTAAATAACAACTACATCAAAATAAGATAATATATTAATATTTTTTTGCATTTCAAATTCACAAAATTAATTCAGTGCGGAATAGCTAATTGAACAAAAACCGTAAACACATAAAATTATCTTGTCTAATACGTAAATGGATTTCTTATGATAGATACCTAATTATTGTAATTACTCAAAGCAACACGTTTTAATAAGACTCGGTTCAGTTATAAGAGATGTTGTTGAACAAAAATATACCAGGAGAAAACCGGTATGAACGATAGATCGGTTGTTGTTTTCATTACAGGATTTGTGGTATATTTCGAACGGATTTTAGTCGCCGAGTCGCCTGGAAGGTAAAGTGAAACTGCCTTTTAAAGTGTTGAGTGGAGTCATGAGTCAGATAAAGACTAAAGAAGAAGAAGAGATGAAGAACGAAGAAAGAAGTCGATCCCACCCATCAACATCAAGCCTGCCTGATACTCCATCCAGCAGCGCATCACCCCTGCCTCAATAGGCAGGGAGTCACATGTCCGCGCAGAGGGGTTTCCCCGAGGCCCGCTCCGCGCCCCCGCAAGGGGACGCGACGGCTCCACGACTGAATCAGGAGTCATCGACAGAGCGACGTGACATTTTACCTCTCATTATTCCTTGATATTTCGAATCTTTCAAAGAAGTCGTCATGGCCTAAAGGATAAGACGTCCGTTGCATTCGTGGTGATCGATGCACCGATGTTCGAATCCCAGGCGGGTACCAATTTTTCTAATGAAATACGTACTCAACAAATGTTCACGATTGACTTCCACAGTGAAGGAACAACATCGTGTAATAAAAATGAAACCCGCAAAAATTATAATTTGTGTAATTACTGGTGGTAGAACCTCTTGTGAGTCCGCGCGGGTAGGTACCACCACCCTGCCTATTTCTGCTGTGAAGCAGTAATGCGTTTCGCTCTGAAGGGCGGGGCAGCCGTTGTAACTATACTGAGATCTTAGAACTTATATCTCAAGGTGGGTGGCGCATTTACATTGTAGATGTGTATGGGCTCCAGTAACCACTTAACACCAGGTGGGCTGTGAGCTCCTCCACCCATCTAAGCAATAAAATAAAAAATAAAAATATCTCATGGATAGTTTTGTACCTCTGTGCTTACGGAGAGATTTTATTCTTCCCTGTAATTGATTTGTACCTTATGTTACAAGAGAATGTCACTGATATTATTCGACATTATTCCAATATCTCATTTTTATCGGAGCAAATTTCTTTCAAACGTTTTAAAACCGCAGTGTTCTTAACTGTGTTTGGCATAAACTTCCATGCAAGATATGGTCTTCTACAAACGAGATTTACAAAATTCTTCTCGGCAAGCAGCGGCTTGGCATAGTTAAGCCTTGCATTGTCAGCCTGGCATTGTCAGAGTCCATCTGCCATAGATACCAATCAACAAATTGTGGACATTCCTAACGTCACGCTTTTTAAAATGGGTAAGAGACTTTAACTTCATATCTTAAGATAGGTAGGATAGAGGCAGTTTGCGACATCTGTAAGTTCTGGTAACCACTTAATACCAGCTGGACAGTAAAACAAAAACTCCTTTCTGTAGATAGAAATATATCACTGTATTCTAAATGTTTCGCATATATCTTTGTTTGTTTTTCGCATTAGGTACGCTCTTTCAAAAAAAAATTAAATTTCAAGGAACTTCCACCGATCATCTTTAATGTCTTGTCTTGAATTTGATCCCAATCAAAATTGCAAATCAAATCGCCAATAAAATTGGATCAAAAATTTGCAAGCGATATAAAAATTATGACGAAGGCATTTATTAATTGGCAAACAAAACGATTGTGTGCGACCTTATTAACAACATAAATGGTGTGGCAATGTCAGAAAATTATAGGTAATGTTGCTAACTAGGTACTGTTGAGTTCTTTTAGTGCATAATTTATTTTAAGAAGGATTAGAAATTTATCTAAGTTGTTGCGTCAAAATGGCATTGCTTAATTCAATGTTTCAGATGTAACTATTATAAAAAAATGTTTACAGTACTATCACAACGATAACAAGTATGTACACCTGATATTAAAACGATGAACTTTGAAACAAACTAAGATAACATTTTCCTAAATAGTACACATTACTTGCACACATGCACACATTACTTGGTGCACATTCCCTATTCCCATTCGATGGCAGATGGGCGTACCTGATTTTAACTAGTCGGCATTGCTTATTGACTTGATTGAGAGGAATTCATTCCAGAGACAGATAATGCGAGTCAAGAACCATCGCTTGAAAAGCTCTAGGAAGAACATAGCGGTAGTGGGAATGTAGCAGGAATGAATTTTGCTTGTGAGGTGAGAGTGAAAAGGAAATGACAAATGCGTTTCTCTGTCAGCTAATTTAAAATATCGACCGACGTCTTTTTGGGTTAGAAAAATAGTGAACTGACCTTGTCAAAATATCGGTAACGTAGGCATGATCTAAGATAATGCACATAAACTAGTTGGCATGATCGTGCTTATTAGCTGAATATTTCTGCTTTTAGCTTTTTTCAGCTGATGATGGGCTCCGTAAGCTATTCGACATTAATTAAGCTGTAAATTAAATTTATATATATTTCTTCTGTACGTGTATTTGTCACTGAACTCCTAAACGGCTGGACGGATATGAATGATTTTTTTGTATGCATTTGGATGGCGTCCTGGATGGTTTAAATTCACAAATCAGCCCAGCAGATGGCGCTACAGTCGGTATATAGGTTATTTATCTTTCCTAGAAATAATTTATATGGCAAAACAACGTTTGCCGGATCAGCTATTATGTATGTAAAATCTCAAGCACTAATACGTTTTTTTTTTCAAATGTGATTAACCATTTTTAAGTATTCAAAGCGTCCTTTATTTTTTAATGTACTTATTTCTTAGC